TTAAATTCGTGTAGTCGAGGCTCATCAGCGCAATTGCCATGAGAATTACTGTTCAAGATTAATTATGGTATTGTTGATGGTGTACCGCTTCAATTGTTGTTTAGTGAGATTTCTGAGGAAAAGAAGTATCGATTTTATCGCTTGCTTTCTAGGTCCTCTTTATTTTAAATCAAACATGTATTGAATTCAATTTTCGATGATGTGTCTAAGTTTTTTTTTTCCAGAATAGTATTAAAATTATTGTTGTTTAGGAAATGTAATTCAATTGTTAGGGTTAAATTTAAGTTGTTTTTTTTTTTTTTTATCAAGAACGATATTAATTTAATTAAGGAAAGTTAATTCAATTTATGGAGACACGGTGAAAGAATGGATAGCGACTTGAACTGAGGAATCGAATTCAGATCCCAGTGGATTTAATTACATTCACTTACGTGATATCATTCTTGAGAAAAGTGTGAATCCATCTTTTCTCCCACACCAGCTATGGGTAAATAGCATGGCAGACTGGGTTATATAGCCTTGGTTGGCAGGCAGGATGATTTGAATTCAGAGTTTCCCTTCTCCTAAAGGATGCCTTTGAATTCAAAGCAGCCTCAAAGCTAGCTTGCCTATGGAGATTCATGGGCCAGACAGTAGACAGATGCAGTAGATATGACGCCCCTAGGAGTTACGGGATTCTTGTTTTTTTCGTGTTTCTTGTGAGAAATTAATAAACTGGTGATAATTCTAGTGTCTTGAGAAAAAAAAAAAAAAAAAAGAACGGCACTCGTCCGCTTATTGAGATGTAAGTTCCACTCGAGTAGCTTGTTCAGTTATGTGGAACCGACTACAAAGTGAATGCTACCAGGATCACTACAATCTTAATCAGCTCGAGTCTAGGGTTAACCATTATCTTCCTCATATATCTCCATAAACTGTGCTTCTTACTCTGTAATTCTCTACCTTGAATGGCTCTTTGGTCTGATACAGAAAGAACATCATTGTAAAAAAAATACCGGTAACAATAAATCAGAAGAAAAAATCGGACGAAAATAAGCTGTAAATATATTATTAAAAATATTAGAAGCTCTAATCACAAAAGATAAAATTCTGTTTAATCTAAGAGCAAATCTATCAAATATAATTCATAAGTAAAAAAAAAGAGAAAGAAACAAAAACAAAAACGATGTGAAACTACTAACAAGCGCCTAAAAAACGATATTGGAATAAAAACAAAACAAAAAACCAAAAAAAAACCACCCCTCACAAAAAAAACAAAAACCAATAAAAAAAACCAAAAAAAAAAAAACCGATATAACGCCTACACGATGCTTCGACACACCTAAGGAAACACGGTGCATACCTGCAGACACAACTCGATCAAAAAAAGATTCTTTAATGATTAATCTAACATAAAGAATTCACAAGAAATTTGAACAATTTTATATAAATTATCCCCGGAAAGCAGAAAAATGGGTCGAACAAATCAAAAAAATAATAACCAACGAAATATTACTGAACTTCTCCGTTTGTCTGTCTGCTTGTTTGTTTGTGTGTGTGTGTGTGTTGTGGTGTGGTGTGTGTGTCCTGGATAAAATTCTCTCTCACTCTCTCTTTCTCTTTATATATATATATATATATATATATATATATATATATATATATATATATATATATAGTGAATATACATAATATCCACCGTCGATAGCACGACTGGAAATTTCGTCCAGTATTTGCAATCTTCACGTGCGAACCTGAAGATTACATGTGCTGCACGAAGCGCCGAGCCGTGCTATCGACGTTGGATATTATGTATATACTTACAGCTATTTCTCGTAACACTTGGCACTCTATTTATAATACCTGAGGTAGAAATATATTATTTATACATACGTGCAAGTATATATACGTGTATGTATATTTTCTATAAAACCACACGTATATATATATATATATATATATATATATATATATATATATATATATATATATATATATATTCTTTTATAGTTTATACATTCTTTTAAATATTTAAGTAAATGATCTTTTTATAATAAACAGTCTTAAACAACATTTACCGGCCTGAATATCCGAGAGTTTTTCATAGAAAATATTCGTCATACGACATTTCTATGAAAATTTCTCGGACATTCAGGCCGGTAAATGTTGTTTAATACAGTTTATTATAAACAGAGCATTTACTTAAATATTTGTATCTATAAAAAGAATGTATAAATATAAAATGTCTTAAAATAATTGTCAGACTGTCTATTTCATAATGTGATATAGACAGTCTGACAATTAATTTAAAGTATGTGTATATATATATCTGATATCGTGCACTATTATCCCATAATATAGCACACCTTAAAACAATATGTCTTTATATATATATATATATATATATATATATACTTCTGAGAGTGTAACTGTCATTTTGTCTGTATCATTAGAAAAAAAAATATCTCTTCTAAACGATTGTCATCTTATTACACATCAATATAAAACATTTTCCATGCCAAAATATCTGTACAACGCAAAGTTAAGTACTGACACCTCACCTTTGACATATGATCATTTAACCTAACCCCACAAGCGGCTGCAGTAGATTCGCATTTTGTCAGATGGAGTTCGGATCTGGTCTCCACCTTAATTGTTTTTGCTTTCTCCTTTTTTGTTTATCCTTTCAAACGTCAGTTCGAGCTGCAACTTATGTTCTAGTGAAAGAAGGAAGTACATTATGATGACGCCATTCGGTGTCTCTTGGAGGACATACTGGTAGATAAATGAAAACATGGGACAATTATGTATTGTAGCCACGACACTCGCATTGTTCACTCGTCCGTCCTGGATTAAATGAAAAAAAATTTTCATGAGATATTTTCTCACTGACGTTCTGAGTGGCGCAAACATAGATTTAATGGTGGCATTAGTGAAATGATGGATGCGTGAAGCGTGCCATTTCCTGTCATGCGTATTATTATCCATGTCGACCAATCGGTAAAACAACAAAAAGAAAACAAAAACAAAAAATCACCTGTTCTGTTTCGTTTGATGGTCACGAAAATCCGAGTGTGGGAAGAGTTTGGTTGCGAAGTGTTGTTTTCAGAGAACATAGATGTAACTATCTACTGAAAAAAGGATATATCAAATGATTGATAGATATATAGTCGGTATATTTTTGTATGTAATTCTATGCGTCATGAGTGAACATTGGTATTGGTGACCTGTGACCAACAATGCATGTTCTTTAATGGAGAGCGGCTCGAAATGAGAAATTGAAGAGTCGAGTTCGAATTTCACTAAGGTTTGTCACACTCGCTTACGAGAAAGTCTCTTGAAAAAGTTTGGAATCAATCTCATCTCTCCAGCTATGGGTTAATTAGTAGAACTTATTTTTGAAAAAATCATTGTTATTCTCATGAAATTGATAGTTTACTATTCACTAAAAAAAAAAAAAATAATAAAAAGAATTATTAAAATACAAAACATGTTATAAATTTCATCAGCCAACAAATAGTGATAATCACTCAAAGAAGTTAATGCTATAAACGCTTTTTTTAAGGGTCACCTTTTAATTCATTTTCTTAAAGGCGATATCAACTGGCCTAGACAGATAAGATGTAAAGAAAAAAAATGGAACTTGAATCTCCTTTTTTCATCAGCGAAACTTCCCCAATAGGCGAGACATGTCGTTACTAATTGTCCAGCATTAACTTTACTCATTAAGAAGAAAAAAAAATGATCTCAATTCAAACACGTGTATCAATTAAAAATAATATTATAGTTTAAAGAAATAATGCTCGATTAAAAAAGAAATCCAACGATATATATATATATATATATATATATATATATATATATATATATATATATATATATGCCGGGTGTAACAGCAAATTTGTTCAAATTGTGTAACAGTATGGGATAATTGTCCATCCCACAAAATGTAATATCTAAATAAAATTAAATAAATAAACTAATTGCGTTTCTTTTTTCCATATTTTCAGTTAAGTCGTTTGATCACCACTATTTGCCGTAAGAATCACTAAAAAACCCTTTAAGTTGTTTAGCTAAAAAGGGAATAGTTTAAAAATATTTTGTGTCAGCCCCACTATGTCTTCTCAGCTGAGCAACGGTGAGAGAAACAAGGCAGTAATGGCACCAACATTCATACTCTGGCTTCCATCTTCAAAGTCCATTCAAGAAGAAACCAATAAAACGGTAGATAAGTTTAAAGGAAAGGAGCAATAGAGAGGGAAACTAGATCAAAAGGTCACAACACCAAGAGGGAGCATCATTTCAACTTAGAGCTAAATACATTCTTACTGTTCAAAGTAGAGTCCAATAGTGGTATAAAAACCTCGGAGAATTCCAGTAAGATATCTTTAATCATTTCTAAAATACAATGGTCCAGAGCATAGATAAATAGATAAATAGATAGTGTGTGAGCAGATTTAATTATATAGATATATAAATAGATATATAAATAGATAGATCGATAGATATTTTGCAGATTTAATAGATAGATAAAATGATCAGATTTAATTAGATAAATAGATAGATATGAAGAGGCTGCGATAGATAGATGTACAGTTAGACAGGTAATGAGCAGATTAAATTAATTAGATAATGAGTAAATTTAATTAGATAGATAAACAGATCGATAGATACTGAGTCGAGTTTATTAGATATATAATGAGTAGATTTAATTAGATAGATAAAGAAATTGGTAGCTATGAAGTGTCTGAGATATATAGATAGATAGATAGAGAGTGTGTGAGCAGATTTAATTATATAGATATATAAATAGATATATAAATAGATCGATAGATATTTTGCAGATTTAATAGATAGATATATAATGATCAGATTTAATTAGATAAATAGATATGAAGAGGCTGCGATAGATAGGTATACAGAAAGATAGATAGATAATTAGCAGATTAAATTAATTAGATAATGAGCAAATTTAATTAGATAGATAAACAGATAGATCGATAGATACTGAGTCGAGTTTATCAGATAGATATATAATGAGTAGATTTAATTAGATAGATAAAGAAATAGATAGCTATGAAGTGTCTGAAATAGATAGATAGATAGATAGATAGATAGATAGATAGATAGATAGATAGATAGAAATAGAATTTAAAAACAAGAGAGAGATAGATAGATAGATAGATAGATTTGAATGAAATGAAATAGAAAAAAAAACAAGAAGTGGCTGAGATAGATAGATAGATAGATAGATAGATAGATAGATAGATGAATATAGATTTTGAATGAAATAGAATTTAAAAACAAGAAGTGGCTGAGATAGATAGATAGATAGATAGATAGATAGATTTTGAATGAAATAGAATTTAAAAACAAGAAGTGGCTGAGATAGATAGATAGATAGATAGATAGATAGATAGATAGATTTTGAATGAAATAGAATTTAAAAACAAGAAGTGGCTGAGATAGATAGATAGATAGATAGATAGATAGATAGATAGATAGATAGATTTTTTGAATGAAATAGAATTTAAAAACAAGAAGTGAGATAGATAGATAGATAGATAGATAGATAGATAGATAGATAGATTTTGAATGAAATAGAATTTAAAAACAAGAAGTGGCTGAGATAGATAGATAGATAGATAGATAGATAGATAGATAGATAGATAGATTTTGAATGAAATAGAATAGAATTTAAAAACAAATAATTTGGAGAAGACCTGATAGAATATAACGTGGGGAAGATAGCGTTTGTTGGTAAAGATTAAAGAGTTTGTACATTCATATATATATATATATATATATATATATATATATATATATATATATATATATATATATATATTTTGTGGGTGTATGTGTTTGTGTGTGTGCGTGTAAATGAATCTCGACGAGTGATGGACGTATATTTTTATGAGGTTTGCTTGGTATCGAAATCAACGGCTTGGTTCGAGCAGTAAACAAGCGAAGAAAAACAATGAAAGGAGATACTTTAACGAATGACAGAAAAAAAAAAGAGCAAAAAAGAGAGCCAAATAATATAGAAGTGATGAGGAGAAAAAAGACGGAAAGAAAAGAGGATGACAGATGGGGGAAATGAATGGGAATAGGAGGGAGTAGAGAGGAAGAGTGAAGAGAGATAATCAGACCACCATCAAGAGCCAATGAAGAAGAAAGAAAGAAAAGAGAGAGAGAGAGAGAGAGAGAGAGAGAGAGAGAGAGAGAGAGAGAGAGAGAGAGTGGAGGAAAGAGTAGGTGAAAGGGGAAAGAGAGGAAAATAAACAACTCACAGATAGAATAAGAAGAAAGAGAAAAAAAAACAAGAACAATTAGAAGAAAGAAAAGATGAAGAGACATTGTAAACAAATAGAATAAGAAACAAAGAAAGACAGCTCTCAATAGATAAGAGGTATTATGACAAAAACAACGAAAAATGACAGGGAGCCTGTAGTAAGAATGGACACCAATCGAAGCCAACGCTTGGAGTCCTGAACTGATGCCAGCATAGTGAATGGCCGACTCACGTGACCTCCACATTGCTTACGAACTTAGAAAATGCGTTATGATTGGCGGACGCTGACTCGACCCTGTCATTGTTGATCCCTCAGAGAGACTGCATCACCCTCCATTTCTGGACTCATTCGGGACCCGTTATAGCGCGCCTAGATTACTCTCAACCCCTGCGACCCCGGCGATCAGTTGTAGTGGATTGTAGTTTAAGTGATCTTTCAAGCAAAACAGCCAACAAGACTATTCTTTTGACGCCTCGTTCAAAGATAGATATATATACTTCTCGATGGCCTTGCTAACCTGATAGATAGATGGATAGATATAGAGATAGATAATTGACATAATGAGATAGATAGATGGATGTATAGATATGAACAGAATGAGATAGATAAACAGACAGACAGTTATAAACAGAATGAGGTACATAGTATTTCAAGTAAGGAAAAAGGTGACCGAGGAGGGAAGAATCAAATACAATTACTTTAAAGAGACGATGCATATATATATATATATATATATATATATATATATATATATATATATGTGTGTGTGTGTGTGTGTGTGTGTGTGTGTGTGTGTGTGTGTGTTTTTGGTTGAGTGCATGGGTGATTTTAAAATTCTATTTTGACGTGTTTAGCCGATGAACCGGCGTAGTCAGAAAATATTTATGTAACAAAATCTATATTAGACTGACAAAACCTGTACATGTAAATCGAAATGCCCCGCATGATATATAGGTGAAACATCCAAAAAATTAAACATCCGAACATAAATTGTTATGGTAATATTAGCCGTTTCCTTGTAAAGAAAGGTTTGCCATTCATTTACCAAGCAGTCAGTACGACTAATCTTTCACTTAAATCAGTTTTTTCTTTGAGGAAAATATTTTTCTTAAGTTTACTAGTTTATTAAAGGTTCTTTTCAATATTGAAAGGAGTGTTCCTTCCTAACCTTTTGTTTGGAGTAGTTTTGTATTTCAACATCACGATTATATCATTATTTTCAGATGATATATTTATTTTAAATGTTGCTGTTGTGGTGTGGTTTCTGTTATTTGGGACATTTTTTTGGTGATTTTGTAGCGGCAGTCCACGTGATTCAGAGAAGGATGTTCTTCGCTGAGTCATACACGATTCATTTAATCAACGCCGGATCTAAGAAGGCCGATCTATACAGTGACAATTTAGCTATATCTGAAGCAGTTTGGTGGTCTGCATGAAATTCATGTGAAGATCACCATCGGACGAGATTGTTAAAGATGTGAGACGTTTTGATGTTAATGTTTTTATTTTATAGCAACTTGCAGTGTTGGCTAAAACTAAGCTTTGAACAACCTATTCTGTGTTCAATCTCCTTATGTCCGATACTAAATTTGTTATAACTGATCCATACATCAATTTATTTAAAGTGTTTAGCATTTACGAATTCCATACCCGGAATTTTTATGATGAATTCAGTAACATAAATAGTACTTAAAATTTAACAACATACTTAAGTAATGATTGTTTGTTTAACGGCATATAAACACCTTATGGGTCATTTAATGCCGAAATTTTATTATCCTGGAGCATTGAATTAATAAGATATGATATATGTTGTTCTGCTTTCACAATTGAATACATGGTAGATGATACTCAGCTTTTGTGCATATACCTGTTTATATGGAGATAATTACGAGAGACAGTGATATGTGTGTTGGATATCTTTAAGAAATTTTAAGATATTATATGGATTAAAATTATTAATGAATTCTTTCATGTTGGTTGCTTGGTTAATTTTGTTTATCGTCATATCAAACGCAACGGGTTATTTAATGCTGAAATTTAAATATTTTGAACACAATGTTTTGGCTTCAACTAAATATATTTTGAACGCAGTTGTATGCTTTCAACTACAGATAAAATGTATCGTTGGTCATTTTGCTATAAAATGTATTTTAGGTAATTTTACTATAAATACATATTGCTGGTAACTTCGTCATCAGTATATATTGCTTGTAATTTTACTATAAATATATATTGCAGGTAATTTTCTTATACAAAAATACATTGTTGGTATTTTTACAAGAAAAATGCATTTTCACATTTCGACAGTATTTTGTTTTTGCTTAGGGCTTAACTATTTGCCCATAGCTGGGACCGTAAAAGGTGCTACCACCCCGGGTCAGGGTAGACGTAGGAATAATAGCAATTAAGGGGTGGTTTCCCGCTCCTCAAAACTTCCAGTCTCCTGATCAGAGGCATTGCTTCCAGGTGTTGTTTATTGTACTTGTGTACTACCATAGTCTGTGTGATCACAATTTTAACCTGAAAAATACCGTCCTAAGGCAAAATGAATATAATTTACACGAATGAAAATGAATATTATGTGTCATAATCAACGAAGAGTTGTTATTCAAAAATTCAGCGCCTTTAGTTAGAACACTAAATCAGGCCTGAAACGATGTGATAAACATTTAAATAAATAAGCTGGTGCAATAAATTAAAAATTAAAAATAAATATAAATTAAGTAAAAACAATAACTGCATTGAAATCTACTTTCTCTAATGGTAAAGTGAAAATAAATCGTTTAGCTCTTTGTTATGGGATCTTACCCATAATAATAATAATGATGGACTATTCCATACTTAAATACTGCGCCTTAGGAGCAGGCAAGGAGTCAGTAGTTCAAGTCGAGTCAGTAGTTCAAGTCGAGTCAGTAGTTCAAGTCGAGTCAAGAGTCGAGTCAGAGGCAGTCCGAAACAGAGTCGCGTTCAGACAATTACTACAAAACATTGGAATAGTGATACTGGTCGAGACTACATTGTTCTCTCTGCTAAACCTGATTGTTCATACTAACACTTCTACTTCTCTGTATATATTCCTTTTTGTAATATATCTGTGTTATTCCATACCTGTGTTCGCGTTCTTCTTTATTGGTTCTACCTTGGACTATCACCGTGGTGCAAGGAACCGGACCATAAGACTCTTTAATTTGATACCATGCTTCCTCTCACTCTATAATTTACATTTTTCTTTTCTTGTGAAATAATATTATTTTCTTATTGATTTGATGGCACCAGTTTATCGATGATACATAACAAAGTATTAGATCACTGCAAAATTTCGTGCCCGATTAGAAAATTTAAACAAAATTTTACATACTCACAAAAAAAAAATCATCTATTAGTCAAATACATAGTCTCCATTGTTTTCAACAACTCCTCCCTTCATTCTACAAGCTTCGTGGGTTTTGTTGGAAGAATTTTGTAAGGTAGTTTTCGACTGACTGCACAGAGTCAATTTTTTGTCATTTAAATTGTTCTTCAGAGACCGGAACAAATGAAAATCCGAAGAAGCCAATCTTGGAGAATAGGGTGGTTGCTGGAAGGTTTCCCATTTCACTTCTTTAAGCTTCTGCAAGTTCTCTTTTGCAACATGCAGGCTTGCGTTGTCGTGGTGAAAAATGACATATTTCAGCCGTTTTCTTTGAACCCAAGTCTCTTCAAATGGTGAAAATCATTTGAGATATCTATTTTCAAATTTTTAGCAATCTCTTCCGTCGAAACCTGCCAAATTACTTTTTGATCATCTGAAGAGCTGCAGCACAATCCAAATAAACCAACCAAATGTTTATGTCGCAATTCCGACGCTTACAATTTCCCGAAATTCATAGATAACAATATGACGAAAATACAACTTTAATCCTCTACTATTAAGGCAGTCATTCGTAGACCAAAAGTGACATTGCAAAAAGTTTCACTTGCAACTGAAAGATCTAAGGTTTCAATCTAGAACACGCCGGGAATTGGCACTAAAACAAATGCCAGTGTCAAGTTGCGGCCATGATATATTAGCAAAAATAAAATAAATAAATAAAAAAAAACAAACAAAAAAAACGACATGAACATTTGCAATGAGCTGATAGATATTTTAAAAACTGTTTCAGATATTTATTATTCCGACATATTACCATTACTATCTTTTAAATTTACCTTTTAAATTTAGATTAAAAATTAAAAAAAAAAAATCCCAAATTGTCAGCGACCCTCTCTGTCGTGCGTATGTGTCAAAATACATACATACGTACTCTCACACACACACACACATATTTATGTTAATATATTTATTGTTCAATACGTTATTTTATAGATACAAATATTTAAGTAAATGGTCTGTTATAGTAAACAGTATTAGCAACATTTACCGACCTGAATGTCCGAGAAATTTTATAGAAATTATGTGACCTTTGGCAGGAATCGAACCTGTATCCTACACGGAACCGTCATATAGCCTGACGTGATATATCATTTAGCTACAGTGTATGCATTTGGTTAACAAAATGACTATATTCAAATCCTATGAAATATATATACAGTGTAACCTGGATATAAGAGACCCGGATATAAGAAAAACCCGGATATAAGAGAGGTTTCTCTGGTCCCAAATTAGAGCCTGTGTTAATGTATATAAAATAGACCAAACCCGGATATAAGAGACTTCTTCTCTGGTCCCGACAACTCTCTTATATCCGGGTTACACTGTATATACATATATATATATATATAGAGAGAGAGAGAGAAAGAAGATGGTAGACATTGAATCCGTCAGTTATATGCCATGCGTGTTACACGCTTAGGCGATCATGTATCTTTCGATACACGACTGACGCGGCAGATTGTTCCAGCATTTCTTTCTGCGGTAGACCAGTTGCCATCCATGGCTTCAGAACTCGGTATGTCCAGCTACTTTCCTATAGCTTGTGGGGGTGGAGAAGTGGAAGATTCATACCTTTCGTAAGAGTATTAGCACTTAAGAGAATGTAATGTATTCAAGTGGAATTCGAACTCGGTTCTCCAATTCCTCAATCCGAGCCGCTATCCATTACCCCACCGTGCCTCACAAGACATTAAATGCTGTTTTGAAAAGTAGTCCCAGTAAGACTTCAAACACTGTTCCTCAAAGTAGAGCCAGTTTAAAGGCAATATTTCCTAATGCTGGTTTTTATATCATGCCAACATTGATTTTTTTCAAAATCTACGGCGATCATAGCACAGGGAAACATGCTTTCATGTCTTTTTAAAAGACATTAACGTGAAGAGAACATAAAAGTGTAGAAGGTTTCTGAGTAATACTTAACATTGTTAGCCAAAATAAAATAAGATGCATTAATTTCGGAGCGACCCTCGCATAATCTTAGCATTACAAAATATTACGAATGTCGGATACATTATTAAAATGGAACTTGTTGCAATGGCAGTTGCCCGTGGGGGATTTCTGGCCAGGGTGAAGTTCAAATGATCAATTATTAAATCAAAGTTCGTTCTGTCACGAAACTCCATCGTGTCAATAAATCCAGTCAGAAAAGAACAAACTTTGTTCGTAAAATGCTTAAATGACATATGTTTTCTGATCGTTGCCTTACAATAGGGACTCTTATCTGTCTA